GTGTTCACAAGAGCCCTCCACTGGTCCCTGTCCTGAACCAGATCAATCCAATCAATACCATCCCATCCTATTTCCATTTTAATATTGTCCACACACCTACACCTTGGTCTTCCCAGTGGTCTTTTCCTTCTGGCTTTCCCACCAGTATCCTATACGCATTCCTCATCTCCGCTATTCATGCTACATGCCCTGCCCACCTCATCCTCCTTGACTTGATCATTCTGATTATACTTAGAGAAGAGTACAAGTTACGAAGCTCCTCATTATGCAGGTTTCTCCAACCTCCTGTCACTTCATCTCTCTTCGGTCCAAATATTCTCCTCAACACCCTGTTCTCAAACACCTTCAGTCTATGTTCCCCCCCTTAATGTCAGAGACCAAGTTTCACACCCAGACAGAACCACAGGCAAAATGATAGTTATGTATATTCTAATTTTTATGTCTTTGGACAGCAGACGAGAAGACAAAAGGTTCTGGACTGAATGGTAGCAAGCATTACCTGAGTTCAATCTCCTCTTAATTTCCTCCTGAATCAGGTTTCGATCTGTTAATGTTGTTCCCAAATATCTGAATTGTGCCACATTTTCAAAACATCTGTTTCCTATCTTTATATCATGATTCTGCCCTGCATTTTGGTGACGAGACATCAACATATACTTAGTTATCTCAGTGTTTACTTCCAGACCAACCTCTTTACTTGCGTCAATTACAGTTTGTGTGTTTTTCTTTATGATATCTACATTATCACCCAGTAGATTCACATCATCGGCATAGGCCAACAGCTGATATGTCCCGGTTAATTTCATTCCCACCTGGTTTCCATGGACCTTCCTAACGGCATATTCTAAAGCAGAGTAGAAAAGGAGTGGCTATAAAGCATCTCCTTGTTTTAGACCATTCTGGATAGGAAATTTATCAGCCAAATGTTTACCTACATGGACTTTACTATACGTTTCATTTAAACACATTTTAATCAACCTAATTAGTTTCATGGGTATCCCAAACTCTATCAGAATATTGTACAATACTTCCCTCCTAACTGAATCATAGGCTTTCTTGAAGACAACAAATAGCTGATGTACTGTCTCATCGTACTCCCATTTTTTCTCCAATATCTGACAAATGCAAAAGATCTGATATGTAGTTTATCTGTTACATTGAAACCCACAGTGATGATCCCCAATAATTTCATCTGTATATGGACTTAACCTTGAGAGAAAAATATTGGATAAAATTTTGTATGAAGTTGATAGCAGTGATATCCCCCGATAATTACTACAATCAGTTTTATCACCCTTCTTGTGAACTGGTACAGTAATAGACTCCTTCCACTGGTCAGGCAATTTTTCCTTATGCCAAATAGAAGTAATTAGATTGTTGATCTTAGAATGTAATATTTCACCTCCTGCTTGAATAAGTTCTGCCTGAATTTGATCACTACCTGGCGATTTATACCATTTCAATTTTGCAATACCACTTTCAACATCAGAAGGGCTAGGATGAGGTACTAACGGCTCAGCCGTATGGATTTCGGTGTGCCTAACGTCACTGACCCTATGTATGTTCAGTAACTGAGAGAAGTAGTTCCTCCACCTATTCAAAATGTTGTGGGAATCTGCAAGCAGATCACCATTCTCATCCTTCACTAAGTTACTGCTGGGCTGGTAACCTCTCTTTAAGTCATTTATTCCTCTATAGGGGTCTCAAATGTTCTTGTTCTTACTGTTCATTGCAAACTCATCAATATTGTCTTTCAGATATTCCCTCTTTTTATTCTTTTAATGCCTACTGGTTTCACATCTTATATTGTTCAGATTACCCCCATTTAACTCGCTTGGATCCTGTAACCATTGCAATTTGGCCTGCTTTCTTTGGTCTAATAATTTTGAGCATCCTTCATCGAACCATGGCTTATGCTTCTTCGGTTCATAATAACCTAGACTCTCTTTGGCAGACATTTTTGTATTCTCTCTAATAGTTTCCCAAGCTTTTTTAACATCCACCTCAGTTTCCAAGTTTTCCAAAGCCACAAACCTATTTGAGACTTCAACACGATACTGCTCTTTACCCTCTACCTCATTTAATTTCTTGAGATTGAATCTCTGCATATAAACTCTGTGTTGTTTGTTTGCTCACTGCCAGTCTTTCCCTAAACTTTGCCACCTGGTAGTGGTCAGTATCACAGTTTGCTGTCCTGAATGATCGGACATCAAGTATACTTGAGTTCCGTCTCCTGTCTCTCAAAATATGGTCTATTTGATTCTGTATTTTCCCATTCGGAGATGTACAAGTAAATTTATGGATGTTACGATGTGGGAACATTGTACTTTTGACAGTAAGATTTTTTGATGTGGCAAAGTTTGCTACTCTGGCTTCATTATCATTACTAATTTCATGTAAACTCTCATTCCCAATCGTTGGTTTGAAAATGTCTTCCCTCCATACTTTGGTATTGAAATCTCCTAACAAAATTTTCATAGGGTACTTTGGGAATTTATCAAATACATGTTCTAATTCTTCATAGAATCTATCCTTTATGTCATCAATTTTATCTTCTGTTGGGGCATGAACATTCATAACAATGATATCACACTAGCGACCTTTTAGTATTATGTTTGATATCCTGTCACTAACGAACTCTACCTTCTTAACAGCTCATACGATAACCCTTATGTACGAAAAAACCTGTACCTAATTCAGGATTTTCATTCCCCTTTCCATAGAAAAATGTATAGTCTCCTGCTGGTGCAATGCCACCTCCATCCCATCTGACCTCCTGTACTCCCGCTAAATCTAACTTATATTTTAAAATTTCTTCTGCCACTGCCTTGAGCGAACCTGTCCTATACAAACTTCGAACATTCCAAGTGCTAAATCTCATATCCATTTTCTTTAGCTTAGGTCATTTATCCAAGGTATCTGACCAGGTCTGAGGCTTTGTGTTCATATTCGTAACATACATATCTTTTATGGTGAGGAGTTATTAGCCTCACACCCAACCCCCACTCTTTGTTGGCTGCCCACGACTGCTTATTCAATATATTCATAGCTTCCCTCCAAAACTGGTGGGCGTCTCCATCCGCAACCTGAGGACGCGCCATGTTGTGGTGACAAGGGACCCACCAAACATGGCGTCCCTACTCTTATGAGAAGAAAAAGAATGCTCAGTTTTTTTAACACTAAATCCCTTTTCCAATAATGCTGGAGATGACTTTTTATTGTATTCATATGAGAAAGACCCAAAATTCTATATTTTCAGCTATAGTAAAAGTTTTCCAATAATTCTTGATTGCTCCTCCACAAACAGACATTACTTTTGGAGGATATATATTAATCTCTCTTTGATTACTTTTTAGAATTTGTTATTGGCACATTGATAAAGTGTATAGGTTCCTGACTGTCAAGAGTCACAGGCTTTAAACCATTTTCAACAGTAAAATCAGTTTATATATAAACGTGGTGCAAGCCAAAAGTTTCTGAAATTTGAATTTTGCGCTCGGATGGTTATGAGTACATCGAAATACCACTAGGTGTCTCCCCATACACCCTTCTTGAATCAGTGTGGCAAGCGGCGTCGAGTTGAGTGGTTGGGTTTATTGTTGGTGAATGTATTTCCATTGTGTTTCTGTGACCTTGTGGTTTTGCGATGGCTGACCTGAGAGAGGAGCGTGTCTGTATAAAGTTTTGTTTTAAACTTGGGAAAACCACTGCAGAAACACGCCAAATGTTGAAGCAAGCTTTTGGTGACAACAGTTTAGGCCAGACACAAACTTACGACTGGTATAAGCACTTCAAAAATGGCGAAACATCGACTGATGATGACGATTGTTCGGGATGGCCGTCAACTGGCACCACACCAGGAAGTGTCATGAAAGTTAGGGATATGATTCTGCAAGATCGTAGACTGATCATCCAAGACCTCTGTAACACCTTGGGACTAAATTATCTTACATGTCAACGAATTTTTGTCAGAGGAACTTAACATGAGGATTTCGGCGAAGTTTGTGCCACATCTCCTGCAAAATGAACAGAAGCAGCATCGCTTGGAAGTCTGCAGGGAACTTCAACAACAGCGTGAAGAGGATCCAAACTTTCTTTCGAAGGTCGTCACTGGTGATGAAAGTTGGGTTTATGGCTACGACCCTGAAAGTAAGCAGCAGTTGTAGCAATGGAAGAGCCCTTCTTCACCTTGGCCAAAAAAGAGCTCGACAAGTCAAGAGCAACATTATGTCCATGTTGATCTGTTTTTTTTTTTTTCTTTCTTTTTTTCTTTTGACGGGATTTTTCATGAGGAGTTCATCCCTCCTCGTCAGACAGTCAGTAAAGACTTCTATCATGATGTTCTGAGGCGTTTGAGGGAGGACATGAGGAGAAAACGTTCAGAGAGGTGGCGCACGAACGACTGGCTACTCCACCATGACAATACACAACCACATACAGCTTATTGTGCAGGAATTTTTGGCTAAAAACAAGATGGCAGTTGTTCTCCACCCACCGTACTCGCCAGACTTAGCTCCATGGGACTTCTTTCTCGTCCCCAAGATGAAAATCAAGTTGAAGGGGTGAAGATTTGATACATTTGAGGAAATTCAAGCGAAAACGCGGACGGTACTAAACACCCTAACAAAGGAAGACTTCCAGGATGCATTTCAAAAGTGGCAGAAATGCTGGGATCGGATTATGCTCTCCCAAGGGGACTACTTTGAAGGTGATGGTGCAGAATAAGATCCAGGTAAGACATAATAGTTTTGATTAATATATTTTGGGAACTTTTGGATAGCACCACGTAAAATTGAGGACTGAGCACAAATACCATGATGCCTAATATATGATTTTCTTGTTACTCAAATTTTATAGATCTTACACTTGACATGAAAAAAGTCACTCATGTGACCAATATCAGAAAGAAGTTTGACTTATTGAATAGTCTTAATTTTAATGGAGAAAGAATAATAATTTGTGGTATATGAAAGGTGCCAATTTAACCATTTATTTTTAAGCATTTGAAGGCAGTGCAGATGCAGATCCAGTCTGTGACTTCAAAAAGGGTGCTAACATCAACAGATCAGGCAGCATTACACAGACTGTATGATGAACAGCAGCGCATCCTGCTGACTGGCAAAGTTGTCCCTACTATTCCAGGCCAACATGCTGTGGGGCTGCCTCTGGTTAGTAGAACAGACTGCATGTGTCATGTCATTTAATGTGTCCAAACAGTTTTAATGTAATGATATCCCACATTTTTCCTTCCAAATTTATTCATGTAATCTTGAGTACACAAAACCTATCCATTCTGTGAAAGTATTAAGAAAAAGGAAAAAGGTGGTGATTTGTGTCACATCTTGAACATAGGTGTTACAGTCGATGGCGTCTTATAAAATTCATATGTACAGCAAGATATGGATTTATGTGTAAATGCACACAAATTGGCATATGTGCAAAATGTTCTGTATCAGTTGTGTGTGATAACCCAAGCTGATTAGCTTGACTTCTTCTCATTGATTTCGTTAAGTATGTAAGTTGGTGTGTTTACCAGCGGGCAGTAGAAGTTTTGGCAGCTGGCATTTAACCACAAATAAGGGATCATTAATGGGAACATAGGATTTGTTTCGGGATTCAACTAGTTTGCAGAACATGAGATCAGGATTACAAGGTCATGTTTCTACTACATATATGCATATACACGGTACACCTTGTGGCACCCATTCTTGTAACATACTCTTATGTGTAAAATAAGTAAGTAAAGTAAAGCTATCCCTGTAACAGGCCGTGGAGGCCCATAGGGTTGAGAGATGTTGAGGTTCCCACATTTTCTAGACAGTCAGCTCATAGATGGCGGTAAGGTTGTCAGCCTTATGTGCCAGCCACCCTTTACCGCCAGGAATATTATTGGTAGTCGTTTCTGTTAGAGGTTAAGTTGACCACAGGACCATAGTGTGGCCGGAAGACTTGGGTAAATTGGAAAAATCCACCTCATTGGGCTTCGATCCTGCCAACTCTTATGTGTATATTTTTTAAATTGAAGTTGGGATATGTGTGTGGAACTTCAATTTTGCATTTGTTTTCAAAATTTTATGCAACCCCACCCCCACCTTTCAACATAAAATCGTTAGTAAACGCCAATAAATGTTAGTGATTTCATGTTTCCCATGTGTTATGATACTCATGAAATTACAATCCAAATTTGACACATGTGGAGAAAGAAATGGTCCCTGCATCCATATGTGTGTGTAGTGTTTTAGCAAACAGTGCAGCACACAGTAGTCATCTTTCACATATTTAGTATAAGTGCATTTAGGCCAACATGATGAACTTTGACTTGAGTGTGTATCCAGTTGAGCACCAATTGTGAGATGGTAACCAGCCTGCAATGACATAAGGAAGAAAGCAGGGGACACTGTTGGGATCTGTTTCCAGGCAACGCCTAGTGAAGACATAGAAGAACTAGCGCATGCTATAGTGAATTGTAGAGTGTGTGAATTAGCGATAACACTATAATTCTTGGTAATTGCGAGTTTTAAGAGTCTAATAAATCCAGCTGCCAATCCAGACACATATCTATCACTAAGCATGTGACATCTCATGTCTGAAGTCAGATTAATCGGATTGGATTGATTGAATTATTGAATGGAAAAGTACATTGGATAGTTACATAGGCATGCTGCAAAATTTGAACAAATGCTAGAACCCCTACTGGTCAACTGAGAGAACTTGAGAGCTGGTGGAAGCCATCATGGAAAGATGGATGCTGGTCACGGGAAGATTAGAGCCTGCTGAGTAATGGCGGATGCCTCTCTGTATGAGCTAGAGGCCAATGAAGAATAGATATAGGTCAAGATGGAGGCATGGCTAGAAGAAATGAAGGCCTGTTGAGAAACGGTGGAGAACTGTCTAGGAAAGAGTAAGTCCACAATAAAGGCCTGGTCCAAAACAAATGAGATCTAAAATTAAGACTGGCTTGGAAGAAATGAAGGCCATAGAACCAGAGGCCAAGCAAGAAGAGACAGAGACAGTCTTCAACATTTTTATGAAGGCTGGACCAGTAGTAAAGCTGCTGCATCTGTTGATTCGTTTTCTTCACGCATGCGCCACACGTAAGGCAGGTTAGTAATGCTCTGGTATCAGGAGTCTAGCACTGGCACTCGGGTCCTTCTGTTACATGAGGGCACCCACCTTTTCCTCATCTTCTGGCCTGATCTCAACGTGATAGTATGCATCTTTGAGGTCCATGAACTTAAAGGAACGATTTCCATTCAGGCAATCCATATTTTCATATACTAAGGGCATGCAGAAGACATACACTTTCCTAACTGTATGCACTCCTCGAAAATTCGCACAAAATCGATATTTTAGGGGTTCCAGCCCCCCCCCCCCCCTTTCTAATTGAGATTCCTGGGTCGGTGCACTCTGTTGCTGCCTTTGTCAGGATCCCCTTTTTTCACCATTTGTTTCACCTGGGTTTTCATCTCCTCATAGCATACAGGTTTCAATGGGGATTTCTTTTAACTGGCGGTGAGTCTCTAGTGTCTATCTCATGATACCCAAAATTGGTACATGGTATATTTCTGTCTTCGGTCTTTTAAACAAGTATTCGTATTCCATTAATACTGGTCGAATCACCCTTTTTTCACCAAACAGAGGTGTATCAGCTTTTCATCTGTCAGGGTCGGTACGTAGTGTTTTGTTCCCTCACTTTGGGATGTAGTCGGTGTTACTTGCTTCCCTTTAACATATGCTGGGGTGGTTTCATCATTGCCTGTTACGTCGCCATCTTCAACATCGTTAACTTGCACAAATATTGTACAAGCTTGTAATTTAATGTCCTCTTTGCTGGTATTAAGCAGCTGGGCAGTGCAATAAGCAGTTCCAGTTGTATGACCTGTCATGGATTCCTGCAGTCACGGGTGAGTCGCAGCTGACAGCTGTTCGGTGTGGCCTAGTATCTCGCAGCACGATTTTCTTGCGGTCAGTGTCCACAAGGTCCGAACTGCCAAAAATCTTTTATATAGTTAGAGCCGTCTAAATGCCTGTAATCCCCTTTTCAATTGGTTGGGCGTGGACCAAACCAGCAACTGTCGATTTTGGTACCAATCTTTTCCGCTGGTCAATGGGCTTCACTGTCATGAGCATTATCGATCTTGGCTCCATTGTTAATCCCTGAGGTAAGACTGTTTGCCATCCACATGACTATCTGTTGGGCACTTTGCTCACAGCTGTGGCAGTCTTCAACTCTTGGTTTTAGCTCCTTGTTCCTCCCTGGAGTGGACCATGTAGAAGCAACTCACTTCGCGGCTCTGCCCGTTTTGCCTCTGACAGCGAATCTTCTGTGGTCTCCTTCTTTGTCCGTCTTTTCTCAGTGGACATTTTTTTTGCTCATTTCGACTCCATCCGCATTATTCTGTGGACTGTTCTTTTGTGGGCTGCCTGTGTCATCTGCTTTGCTTCCTTGGATACACCTACAGCATCCAGCTTCCTCCATTTTACCACCTGTGATGCCGAGTCTGTGCAGGCTGCACTGACATACACACTCAACAGAAACTTCCGGCCTCTGATTTCCAATTGGTCTGTCTTGAAGTCGATACGAGCCTCTGTTACTCTCAACAGCTCCTGTCCTGTGATTACCATCTCTTTATTGGAAACAGGACTCACAAATTTTTGTGGGTATTGTCGGTCACATATGTCCATGTTCTTAGACCCTCTGGTCTCCAGTAACTCATCAGTTTACACATCTTGCCTTGTGTCAGGTTTCTACCACTGGCCTATTCGAAACATAAGGTTGGCCTAAACTGATGTGGGTTCCACTGCTTAGGATGAACTTGTAGGAGTGTCCTTGGCCTACAGGATTCATTACTAAGTCCCTGTTTTCTCTGGAAATAGCGAGCAGAATCCACATAACTAACTCTCTTCCATCATGGTTGGGGCTAACCCTTGCCGAAGCTACATAGTTTAAAGTTCTGCTGTCCACCCTTGTCCATATGCAGTAGTATCTTGCAATGTGGCATGGATGTCTACATGTAAAACAGACAACTGGTCTTCAAACCCTGTCCATCTTTTTGTTACCGCCCTCTGAAATGTGTTGACTTGCGGTCGTTAATATCATTTGTCAGAGCATTTTGACACACCTTATTCCTTCCCACTGATGAAGCCTCGATAGTCTGCCCTTATTGTAACTTGGATTGTTGGCGGCACAACTCAAGTTTGTTTGCTCTGTAGACCGTGATGGCAGTGTTCAGAGTCTCCTATACTGATGCTGTGTTACTGTATCTCAAACCTTTCCCCACATTGACCCACAGTCAGCTTCTGTTTCTTACCATAATTTTCTGTTCCACCGAATTCACAGTAATCCTGATGGTTTTAAAACTGGGGAGTCTCTACCTATCATATTTCCCTTGTGTGGCTACGTGTAATAAGCAGGGCCCGGATCTTTATGCATTAAAAACACTTAAAAATATGCACTTGAGAAACAGGTCACTTTATTCAGACTCACCTATTTACATGTATAGTTCACTGCAGAAAGTAGCATCACAATAGGCAACTAGAAGTCTTTTAATGTTTTCTGGAGACAAACTGTGTCTATTGTCGGTCAAAATGAGTTCATAGGCTGAGAATTATCTTCCTACATCAACTGATGTGATTGGACAGTATTTATACACTGGCGCCGAAGGTTCGGAACATTCATCTGGCAAAGATACCCTAATTCCACTCAAGTACTGACTAACTGACTAAATCTTTTTTAGTCCTGGGTTCGAATTCAACACCATTTCTAACTTGCATTTAATCTTCTTTCCAATTTCGCCTGGAGCGGAATTCAGTGAACGAGTTCAAGTGAGTTGTGAAGGAGTGCACCACAAGATTCCAGGCTTTTGAAACTGTAGAAAAAATGTGCATGGGTAAAATTCATGTCTTGATAAACAGTATCACTTCCAAACACCACTTTTGCTTCACGGACACATGCATATTCATCTTCAAGTTTTGTAACCGCTTCTTTTACTTGATTGAAATTCTCCTGATAAAATGAAACTGCGGATATCCATGTCCCCCACCTAGTTAGGACAGGTTCAGGTGGCAGAGGAACCTGAGATAGGCAATCTTTGTAGAACTGGACACGAGCTGGTGCTTTCAGAAACATTTTTTCCCCACTTGCAATTAAATCATTAACAGCTGGAAA